TCGAACATCCAAATAAATTGAATCTCAATTCATAATCAACCATTTGATATCATGCACACAATATATGATTCAAACATTCATGATATTCTCAATATTTTATTCCAAGTCATTCGATATTCAATATCTCAACCATGCTCTTAAATTATTCTTAATCTAAGGCCAAATCATTTTATAACAAGCTCTTAGCTATTCCTAGTCTAAGGCAACATTTCTAACCAGGCCCTTAAACTATAAATAGTTTAATGCAGAACACAAGAATCGATAATCCACCCTATAGGTCACGTGGATTACGTACCAACCGAACAATGATTTGTCGGGTGGGTGATATCCGGTCTGGATCCCGTACGTACGTTTTAACCCCGAAATATGAATTGGTCAAGAAGGTATATCTTAGAGTTCTTCTAGATATCCTTAATAATCATCATCATTATACAAGTGGGTATATCTTTAGAGTTCTTCTAGATATCCTTAACAACATTATTCATTAGTTCATATTCTTAGTTCAACAATCATTTAAAAATCCATAATATTCATCAAATGAACAATCTAATAACAATCAGCGGCCTAGCATCGAGGGTTAACACCCTAGCTTACCGTCATGCATCACATAAGATCCCTTTTAGTTGTTAAAACACCATTTTTATTCCAAGAAATCATCCTTTTATTAATCATAATGGTTTGGTATCAAAATGTAGGATTCCATAACTCAAAAATCATATTTTCTAAATAACAATTGATTAATATATGATAGGAACTTCAACTATTAGCAATTAGCTTCATTTTCTTCAATAGTGTAGGGTGACAGTCTACTGTCACTTCTGATAATCTACTGTCTGATGTTCAGAATGGGCTGATAATCGATTATCACACTCTGATAATCGATTATCAAACTTCAGAGAGGGCTGGCAATCGATTATCACATTCTGATAATCGACTGTTGTTCAGCTTTGTTACAAAAATCTGCAGAACGATGAATAATCAATTTTCAAGTTGATAATCGATTATCCATCGTCTTCTACCTCGAGCCAACTTGCGGAAATGTCACTTTTACTCACCAAACTTCAATTAAAGTATATAAAAATGTTCTCCAAGGTTCATGGATCATTTTAGCATCATTAATTCATAATTTTAACATCAATTTCATGATTTATGATTCTTAGTTCTTCAAGTATGTCAAACACAAAACTCAACCAAATGACCATTTATGAACGTAGAAACGACCTATATGAACATTCTAGTCATTAGATATATCTAGGGGCTTACCTCGAAGCTTAACGAAGGTTTTGGATATTTTCCGGCGAAACTTCCGGCGATGATTACTCTCAACTCTGGCGACCTCACACCAAATTGGCAGCACCACAATATTCCTTACACTCTCAAGAACACAATGGAAGAAGAATGAAGAAGAATGGTGAAGAAATGAGAAGGTTGGGTTTTCTTATATAATGAGAAGGAGAGAAGAAGAAAACAACTATGGTGACTCTGGGATCGGCGTAGTGGGGAAGGAGGCGCCGTTCGCACAGTGTCCCTGATTGGGACCAATTTTGGTTCCAATCGGGGTACACTTTTTGGTCCAACTTTCTCCGAATTGAATTCCGTTTGCACCGTTGCGATCGGGCAGTTAAACTCTATCTAACGATATAATTTTTATATTTATTTGTAATACTTTTTCCGACATCATATTTTTGGGTGTTTGACTTTAACAGAGTCAAAATTGGTTTAATTGACCTTTCTCATAAAAGGTTCTCTCATTTAATTCATATCAATTATTCTCATGATTTATTTCAATAAATCATTACAAAGTTCACATCATAAT